GCAGTAAGGCCAGGAGCTACTAGTAGCGTCCTTGCTCCTAGTAGCGACGCCAGGAGCCCCTATACTAGCTTCTTGTTCCTAGCAGTAAGGCCAGGAGCTCGTCCTTGCTCCTAGTAGCGATGCCAGGAGCCCCTATAGTAGCTTCTTGTTCCTACTGGGTTCTTGTTAAAGGATTTTTTTTTAAAATCCTGGTCAGATCATGGCATTCCAAAGTGCTGCAATGAGCCTGCTACGATTTCTGCGGATTTCCAAAGTGCTGCAACTGTCACCCTCTCAGTGCCACGAAATTCTGCAACTTGCATGACGCAAAGAACATTGCCATCAAAAATGGACATGGGGCTCACGTTGTTGTCAGGACCATGTGTTTTTGAAAACAATTCAAAGAACACTGTATTTTTTGTAAAGAAGGGGCAGGCAAACTTTGATTCATTAGTTTTTTATTTTGTGTCCAGGTATTTTGCATTGGCTGCAAAAACAGTACAATATATGTCAAGAATCAGATCTCAATGTTGAATCCGATGAAGTCGACACACACAAAAATAATATGTATGTTTGCCAGTCTGGCTTTTCCTACCATCAGCTGGGTATACATAACCGACGCACGCATCCTTGAACATACTTTTTGGTAAAGATGTTTTGAATAATGGTCATACTGCGCGATGATGAATGTGTTGCAAGAACGTGAAAGTATTTTGTAGCAAGCCAACTTTCTTAAAGAGCTCCATGAACTGGTGACTACTTAAATGTTTCATGAATATATTTGTCACGGCTCAGGACCTGCCAGGAACCAGCGATACTAAGGAAACTAAGGCCTCGACACGCTTCATCAGGAGAAGAACTAAGGAATGAACTAAGGAGACTGCAGGCTTTATCATCTTCATCCTGCTCGCGTTCATGGGCCTTAGCTTGGGCACGCCCAGCCCGCAAAAATTAATAAACGCTACTTGTAACTAGTACGCCGAAAGGTGTATAATAGCGCCGAAAGGTGCAACTCATCTTCTTTTTCTTTAGGAATCGTTGGGCTCAACTTCCAGTGTCGGCTATTCAATTTTCCTACACTGGCTAAATAGGACTAAATAGGATTTTTGTGTGTGTTGCCAGTTCTGGTCTTTTCCAGAACTCTGTGTGTGTGTTGTGTGTATTACTTCCAGTGTCGGCTATGAAAATCCGACACTGGCTAAATAGTATTTTTTTGTGTGTTGCCATTGCCATCTGGTCTTTACCAGAACTGGGTGTGTGTTGTGTGCGCGTGTCTTTGTTTGTGTAGCCCCTGGGCAGCAAGCCGGAGAGTGGGATGGCCAGTCAGAGTGGAGGTTGCGGGCAGGGCCTCAACAACCTAAGAAGCGTGGCAAACTTTCAATATAAGTCTTTCCAAATCTAGGGAGTCCAGCCCAACAAGACAGGCCTAACTTTTGAACATCTTTTTGAACACAGTTTTCTATTCGAAGTGGGCCAACCATCAACAGCAACGCATATGTCTCTCCACCTCCAACTGAAGCTTTCAATCCGCAGGCTTGAAAAGGGTTGGTTTGCCAGGTAGGGTATTCGACGTTGCTTTGGAGAGCCAGCTGGTAAAAGTATGGCCCTTGTCTATCAAAGGTTTGGCGGTTCTAAGAAAACCAGTTCCCATCCAGTCCTGGTACAGCATGCCCGGAAGGACAGCCAATTCAATGGTCTGGGCCTGAAGTTTGAAGCTTGCGGAATGCTCACTTGCAAATCTTGCTCTACTAACTAAGATTGAAAGCAAGTGCCGAAGCATCAGCAAAGCACTTTTTTTCAACAAGCGAGATGCCATGTGATGCGCGCCTGGCGTTGAACCCACTTTGCTCCAACAGGTTTTTCTCGACGCATACAAGCCAAGAAACACATATACCTAACCAAGCTATTGTTTAGTGCAAATTCTTGGCGGTTTCTTTTTCAAAGCTGTGGAGATCTATTTGGTTCCACTTCAGTTCACCCAGCCTTCTACTTGGTCTTTTTCTTTATGCTTTCCTTCTTCTTCTTCTTCTTTTCATTCTTCTTTTTCTCATCCTTTTTCACCTTCTTCTCATCCGGCAGGCGGTCAGTGGAGCTGCCAGCACCACCCCCTGTCAAAGAAATGCGCCAACGAAAACATATTTAAAAACGATGCGCTCTTGCCCGAGCAAAGTTAGGATGATGCTCACACTTTCCAATGATGCTGGTGGCGCCTTGTCCCAATATGTTCAACGTCGCTTCAGCCTTCCCACAAATTTCAAGAACAGTGGTCAGAATCCAACGCTCGGATAGTAGGTTTGCAACAGACCAGTTAACCTGAGCACACGGCCACGCGAAGATCTCGCTCCGCTTGCTTGCGAAACTTGTGGGCCTGCGGAATAGTTTGGAGGGCAACCGCCCTGAATCCCTACATGTTCCAAGTGCACTGCAACCATGTTTACAAATATTCAATACACAAACATTTTGCTAACACCCGGATGCACCTCAGTCAGCGAATTGAAGAGATGGTCCTTATCCTTGCAAAACTTGTTGCCCCAACTGCTTGCTTTCCCATTAGCGGCGAAATGATATGCGCATAATGGGTTTCTTGAGTTTGCAATATTTACCAGTTCTGGGCAAATCCAGAACTGGCAAGTTATAGGCAAACGAGGTTAGTGGCAAGTGACATAAATTAGTGGCACTGCGCGGTCATATCAATACAAGACCGTTTAATTTATTTGCTCACACACTCGGGCGCCTCAGCCAGCGCATCGGCCTTCTTTTCAGCTTGCTCCTTTGCCTGACCAACATGACACATGATTTTTCACCGGGAAGTGTTTTTCCACCACACGTTGAACATGTGCCATGTCTCCTACACACACGGGCGCCTCAGCCAGCGCATCGGCCTTCTTTTCAGCTTGCTCCTTTCCCTGACCAACATGACACATGATTTTTCACCAGGAAGTGTGTTTCCACCACGTGTTGAACATGTGCCATGTCTCCTGGCCCTGAAAGTTTGTTTCGCAATTTCTTTGTTGACGCAAACTTGCATTTGCGCCTCCTTTGCTGCCTCTTTCTCCTGACAAGTATGATTCATGATTATCATGATACAAGGTGCGTCCACAACGTCCCTGCCTGCCACATCTCTTGTATTCTTCGCCGACGCTCCTTCCTTCGTAGGCCCGCCAAGTCGTTCTTCGTCATGAGGTCAAGTGGAGATTAGGCTGTGAATGTATGTTGCTTGTCTGTCAAAGCGGGGAACATCAAAGCTGGTGTTTTGTTGCTTTTCTTTTTTCTGTCTTTCAAGAAACGGCAGACATGGGGGGTACCTTGGAAAGAGACGTTTTGGATGTGGATGACATGGCTATAGCTTTCTAAAAATAGTGATGACATCAGGCCGTAAGCTGTGAAGGTACGTCTTCTTTTGTTTGTTTTCTTTTGCTAGCTTGAGCGTTCTCACAGACATCAAGAAAGTATGCGCCAGTGATCAACGCTGTTCAATGACTCCTTCCACTGAGCTTTGTTCTTGAGGCCCGAACGCTTTACAACGACGACTGCCCAAACAGTTCGGGCCTGAATCAACTGCTGTGCTTCCAAACAGCTCGATCACATCAAGCCGGCGTGCATTTGCAAAGAGTTACAAAACTGAATTTATGGTGTTTACTGTATTTTTCTTGGATAACGGATAGCTTGATTGAGACATCGTTGCTTCACCTCGTTGTTTTTGCAATGACCTTTTGGACCAAGGCCAAGGGGAAGTCACAGTACATGCAGACATCAACACATGCAGACGTCAACTAGATACACAAAACGCATCATGGTCAGGTGTATATGAACTTGACAGAATGAAAGATAGACCAGACACTTCACCTTGGCCAGAATCAAGAGAAATACAAAGCCCAAATAAGAGACATTTTACTTCTAGATGGACATTTTTGCAGGAAATATGAGCCTCACCCCATCAATCCCCACACTGGCAGAAACTCCGCTCACTCCATATATACTCTGCATTATTTCACACTCGACTTCACATCATGCATCACTTCACACTCGCCTTCACATCGTATCTTCAACAGTTCACCAGCAAATGGCACCATCGCATCATTGTTCATCCGCGTCAGCCATGCCACATATATACTCCACATATACTTTGCATCATTTCACATCACATCACATCACATCGCCATATACTCCGCGCATGTTCACATCACATGTTCTCGCCATGCCAGTGAAGAAGAGTCTATCCAAGCAGCTGAGAGTGCCTAGGTTTGAGAACCTTCAAGTTTTGCTTGGCCCTCCGAAGGTTTTATTTGTTTTAAAGAGCCTTGTAGATGACGTTAAAGCCCCGTTGTTTCTTGAATGCAGCCTGCAAGTCCAAAACCCATGTCTTTCTCTTACCGCTTGACT